GTTCAGGCTGAAGATCTTGGAGATTACTACTGTCTTGGTAATCATGGTGGTGGTGCGTTCACACAGTGATTCAGAGTCGTACAAAAACCTCCCTCAGTTTGACCAAAGTGAAAAACAACCTGCTGCAGCTGCTGAGACGAGGAGATCTGCTCCAGAGATGACAACACCAGAGTCATTACAGCAGAACAGCACAGACAAAAACAACTGTTTGGTTCATTTGACTTATAATTGTACATTAAATATCATCACTGAGGGGAAATATGTTTTCTTCCAATTCAGGATCCAACGTAAGTAACTGAACACTACAGCTGAGACCAATTCTCTACAAGGTTTTACATTTCTATTTATTTGTATCTGCAAGGGGGAAAAATTAAAATAAACCATTTACACGTTGATGTCAAATTACCATATTATGGTAGAAAGAAATTACATTCAGATTTTTTCTATTATACAAATGTAATAACTTCATTTTTAATAGTACAGACTGTATTATCTTTAGTTTTTCCATTTCCAAAAGTCTACATGGGATAGAACAATAAAAATGAAAGAATAAAATGTTAAACATTAATACCTTTTAGTTTAGTTTAGATCTTTTTGTGCTATTGTTGTCTACATGTTGTTAATGTTAGTGTTTATGGCCTGATATTATGATCATTTGGACATTTTCATGGAAGAATGTTCTGTCAGTCTGTCAAAATAAATTATTCTTTGTTGTATTTTTGCATTTGTTTGTACTGTTTCTGCCTATATTGCTAAAAAACACCAATTGTCAAAAATAAAAGATGAAGAAAACGACCAATAGGTGGCAACAATTGAACAAACGGACGCCAACTGTGATAAAATTGTAGAAAGTGTAGAAAAACAGACAGATAGATAGATGTGTTGCCTCCCCAGCTTGAGAGTCAGGGTGCTGCCACTTCTGTTCTTGTCTGAGGTAAGAACAAAGGAAATAGACGTTCTGCTGGTGTTCTCATCACAGCAGCAGGATTTATTCTTCCTGTTTCATGTACAATATTTAAACATTCAAAATCTCTGCTATTAAACCAAAGGCTCTGGCTTTACTCACAACTTTCATATAATCTGGTCATTTCACAACATGGTTTTATGAACAACAATATTTTAATAACAATGATACAACATTCTATTATATTCCTGAAAAACTAATGGATTTGTTGTCACTGAGGCAACTTTTAACTAACAATTCCTCTAATATTTACTTTTATATGTTCTCTTCCACCAATAATGAATCTGAATTAGTCAATTTTTATGAAACATATTTTAAATAAAAAAATTAAAAAGTTGTACCATATTCAGGAAATTGTTGTGTTAGCAGCAGATATGCTCTTAACAGGCTGCACATAACAAGTGCCAAGCATGTGGCTCTTCTGGGAATCGAACCTAAGACTTTCTACTTCTGAGGCAGGCGTGTTAAGCACTACAATAAACTAGAGCTAAAGAACTGTACCTACATTCTTCATACAGTCACTCTATCAATGATGCATCATTCGAACTTTGGAACGGTGTTTTCTTGGTTTGGGCAATAATTTTAATTCAGTGGACCAAGGCCTGTATAAATATAAATAAAACGTTTTTCTACAACTTCCTGTGAAAATTCTATTATGATATTAGTAGTTCAATGGTGACTTTCAAATGACACAGCTAGAATAGAACATTGATTTGAACTATTCTAAACTGAAAATAACGTAAACCCCTTATATCTGTAGAGTTGTTTTGACAGTAAACTGCCAGCAGAGGGCATAAGCCTTCTATATGTGATCACAAAGCTGAGAGAGAAGTCTGAAAACTTGGCGGTGGAGAAAGACT